AACATCGCAAGCAAACAAATAACTGACTATGACGTCACAAATCTGGCATCGCCCAGAAGATTAGCCCCCAAACAGATTTTCAATTTTTAGAATTTTCAGCAGTCGGTGCATACTTTCAGCTGTGTGTAGCATAAAACATAGTCACATTTTTTGACTAAAAAAAATTTTTTTGGGCAAAAAAAGCAGTTTTTAAAAAATTTCAGACTTTTTATTTCAAAACGTTAGTAAGGTGATAACTTCCTTTCCCCACTTGAAGATGTCCTTTAACCCCATAAAATCTCTTAATTTAAAAACTGTATGTCTACTGCCTTGCTTTCCAATTTTGAACATTGTGTTACTATCAAACAGCCGTATATCAATAAGATTTCGATTGCCTATTCCACATTTACACATAAATCATTCATTTTCAATTCATTTAGCTTCAAAATCTCAAAAAACTAGTACGTTAACATAAAAAAGTATTAGTAATAATAACTGGTCAGCCAAGTATCATAAAAATTGGCAAATGAATGAAGCTGTCAGATTTACAAAAGTTCTTGTAACTGACCAAAGGGAACTGAAAATAAGCAATACAAAAATGTGAAACCTTTTGTGAACCAGTAGCACTTAATTTTTTTTGTGAAAATATTGTCTTAATCAAGCAGTACTTCTGGGGTCAGAATTGGTAATTTTTTAAATAAATATCTGATCTACTCATACCTTACTATTGAGTTTTCCTTGCTCTCTACTTTGCAGCAATTCCGCGTAACCGTTTAGACGGTTTACTTGTTGTTAATTTTTTTCGCTTCCATTACAGCTGTTTTTGTAATAGAAATAAGTAAATTTTTGGGCAGAATTATTAAGTTTACAGTTATTATAGTCAAGTAACTTTTAACTTTCAAGAGCAGAATTAACGGCAGATTAATGTTTGAAAATATTTTTTATTGGGCCGCTGAGGAAGCTGTTTTTCTTTAAATTAAGCAAAATGCAACCCTGATCTTCAGTGGGAACTGCGGTAGAGAACTGGAATTGTTAGGTTTATCGGAAATAATTAGTATGAAGAAATTAGCAGACCAAAAAAAAAACAAGTATCTTTGATCGTCCTGTTAAAAAAAAACTTTTATGAATTTTATCTGTAGACAAATATTGTTTGTTTTGATAGTTTTTTATGACATGTTTAAACTTAAAGAAAGATGTAGCTTTGTTATTAGCATCGGAATGTATTCCATTTTAGTGTATTTCTGCCTACTCTGATGATGTACTTCGGTTGATTATCAGTAGTGTTAGCAGGGGCGTGTACTAATGTTTTCAGAAGGTTAAGTAAAGCTATTGAAAAGAATTTCACTAAACTTTAGTATCGGAATTTTTTTTACAAAATTCAACTGGTGAAACAGATGTCGAGTTGTTGGATGATACGTCATTTCCGTTACAGTTTCATTGCAAATATAAACATCTGGTTTTGTTTATTGTCAAAAAAAGTTACTGTTGTAACTATGGGAAATTTTGGTTCAGAGCTGAGAAGAATTAAATGAATTACTTCAAAAAATGAGGGATATGGCGAAAGGGTGTAAAACATTTAACCAGTAAAATTACAGTACAGAGCTTGCAGCAAACCCACAGGGCGAAAACCTGTTAACAATGGAATTCTGGACCGGAGATGACAGTAAGGAATCAGAATAAAAGGTACTGAATCAAAGCAAAACATAAGTGTTCCTCGGCTGTGTTATACGCTCTGATAGCTCATGAATAAATAAATAGATTTTGGAAGATGCAAACAGCAATTGCCTGGTACTGCTGTATGAAATTTGCATTTGAGGCGGTCACGTAGCGAAATGTTTTGACTAGTGAAGAAAAGTGATAGAAGAAAGTATTGAAATTTGTCGTTACCGCATCTGTATTTATGGTCTACACTAATGAAAACATCTCAGCAAAAAAAAAAATGGAAACAATTTTAGTCCTTGTCTAACATGTCTGTTGAATAACTTTAAACATTCCTGAAAAACCATGGAGTGAATGTTTGGTTTGTTACAGTTGCAGTTACTTTAGGTTATCTGGAAGCGAAGTTAGCGGCAAATAAAAAAAGTTCAGACAGTATTAGAGAGTTTTACCTTCAGGAATCTGTGTTAAGGGCGCTGATGGTAATCTGTTGAAAAAAATTAATTGCTGAAGAGCAAGTATGACCTGAATTGGCGAATGACAACTTTTACCCAATTACAGTCTTTCAAGATGATACAGATTTGTGAAGTATACGTTCTGTAATGTAACTTAGAATTCTTTTTTGAAAGTGGATTGTTTGCGTAAAAAGCTGCTTTTTTTAACCGCTTCTATGAGAAGTGCAAAGTGACGGGAACAGATTGGGAAAAATCTAGACTTGATGTTTTTTGAATGCGAAATTAAAACCGAAGTGGACAGTAATTGGACTGTTCATAATGAACGAGGTGAAAACAATGGCAGGTGGTACAAGATTAAATATTAGTTTGATTTAGCAATGACGTAGGGCGTTTACCTATTAGAAACAAGTTTCAGTCCTTGTTCTATGTCGGTAATGGTAAATGCTGTTGCAGCAGACTGTGCATGCACTGTAGTCAATATTGTGACAGAATGATGGATGTGGTGTTTTATATGGTACACTTAGGATTTCACTTAGCTTTCATTGAAAATGTTAGATTTGATACTAGCCAATTATTTTTGCCAAGGCATATAGCATCAATGCAGCGAGCAGTTTACGCGCAGTGTGATAGAACAAATGAGATTGATTCAGTACTTTTTGTTTTTGAACGTCTGTTCTTTGTCCTGATCAGTAAAGCTAGCATTAAAGGCTATTAGCTACTTAGTTTCAGCCACCATAGTGTGGTAAAAGCCTTAAGAAAATTTTTTTACACCTCTGTCATGACCTTTTTGTAACACTGTTTCGCTGAGTTCTTTTAATCAAACAAATGTATACTAAAGTAGTTTAAAGCAACTCTTGGCTGTTAGTTTGGGAGTTTTCAACTATGGATGATAGAGGAAGAAAAAGTGAGATTGTTAAAGACTGGTAATATTTTAATTTCTTTACAGTGTATTACCTACTAAACGTAAGTGAAGACTGTTGTTTGTGTTAGCTGAGTTTTTCTGATGATCGATAAACGCACAATATCAGGTTCATGTTGATGTTAACATCAGATAAATTTACAGCAGGTCTCAGGTACTTCCCGAACAAATACTAGTGCAATTTTTATTATCTTCCGAAATGCTGATTTGACGATGTTTTTATACATCTGATTTTGATCTATGGTGCTTACGGCTAAGAACCGTGACTTTTGTAGTTTCAAGTAGCCGTAGTGGGACGATATCTAAAAACACTCTTACGTCAAACTCTGCTTCTGAAAAGAAACTAGAAAAGTGTCTGAAAAAAGCTGACGTCAGATTTGATAAGCACGGAGTTATGGTATGTCACAACGATCATTAATATCTAAAGTTGTCATTTTTTATGTAATATATGTAATTTTTCAATTCTGTTGAAATTTGTTGAAAAATAGTTCAACATTTTAAGAATTCTGTAATTTGGAAGTGAAGAAATTGTGGATAGGAGTGAGTCTACTGGATGAAAGTGTGCAAAAATAAACTGGAACTTTCAGAAACTGGAATGCTTGACAATATTGTATTGTTAAAGATTATGAAGGACATATATGGTTAATTTAAGGTTTATTCAACATTAAGCTTTAGAAACTATTGTTTCTTCACGGTAGTCTTTTAAATATTAAGAAATTAGTTTGCTGTAACTGGCCAAATCCTTGAAGCGGATTTTTAAAGCCATTTCAAATTGGCGATTCTTTGGGGTGAGAAAAAAGAAAAAATTTGAACAGAATATGTCCAGTGAACTAAACTTTCATATTCATTAGGTATTTAGGAAAACAGCTATATTTTAAGTAAAGGTTTTGAGAAAGATTAAGAGTCGCAACGAGAATATATTCAACAACCTGGAGGTTAGTGCTTTTCCGGGCACTGCGATTGGTAAAGAGTGGCTATAATTTGAAAATTTTGGGTCCTGTGGTGAAAATGTTTCTGTTTTCTTCTTTCAAATAATCTGTCGCTGCCGACTTCTGTGTCGTATTTGGTAACCCTGTGGTTACTGGGCTGTTTGAGTGGCAGTAATGGAGTGTCATGATAAGCAGAAGGCAGGTATTTTAATTAAATTGTTTCAGGTATGAAGGTTTTATGGTTTTTGTCTCGAATAACGTTTCAGAAGCCGTTTTTGAGACTGCATCATTCTGGTTGCAACGAATATGTAAAGTAAGTTTCATTTTGGCTGTGTCGTAACAGTTAAGAATAAAAATTTGTTTGTGGTTATCTGTTCATTAAAATTTTTGCGGTAGAACTAGCTGAATTTGATAGCATTAAGTAAACAATTCTTTTGTTTTGACTGAGTCTATCTTTCGCTGAACTACGTGGTTTTCACGATTTTTCTCCCATGTTGAAGCACTCCATAAGGTTTTGAAATTTTAAATAATTTGGAGCTTTTACACTGTAAAATTTTTTTTAAAATAAGAAGGAATAAAGGAGTTAAAAACATCTTCATTTCTGATTTTCAGCGAATTTATCGTACCGCAAATAGGGGTAATGTGTGGGTTCATTTTAGGAAAGTGCAGGTTTTGGAACACTGGAGTGCAAGCGATGTATCTCTAAGTGGTGAATTTCCACGGTCAAAGGTTGCCTTAATGATTAACAAGAAACCGTTGATAGTCAGGGATCATCACGCTTGCGTTGCGCTTCGTATTCTTTCATATCCAGGTAATTTTCAATGAAAAGTTCATTACTTTCTTATGTGTTATTCATTTTGGACGAGATTCTGTTCAAAATGTGTTGACATCTTGATGGAAGGCAAAAATTTGAAATTTAACGTTTAAATTTTCTTGTATTATGTATGTTAGATCTATTTACTACCTTTGTGCCTTGCCGTTCAGCACTGTGAATTTACTGTTTGAGAGTTGAGTCGTAAACTGACTGATTACGGATTGTCAGTAAACCCTGAATGCATCGCTCTTCTTGATGCGGTCATGAGCGATGATGGTGACTACGTAAGTCTAAAAAATTTTACTTATTGTTACTATTTTTTATTTTTCGATTTTGACAGTATCTTAGGGAGCAGTTGAAACTGTCTGTCATAAGCATTTTAAAAAGCGTATTTATTGACACTTGCTGGAGAAGAAACTACAATCAAAAATTTTGTCATTTTACAATACATTTTTTTCCTGCAAATCACTTCTTCACGTTTGCCTGTGTTTTTGTTTTTTTGTAATTACTGAATATATTTTACAATAGATTTTTTCCATTTCCACTTAGTTTAATCTACTTTTGATTCCGATTGGGCGGTAGCTCTATACTGTCTTGGTTTTTTTTACTTTCTTGAGTAATGTATATTTAGGTGCCTTTACTAGGCTTATCGTTAAAAACTATTAAGATGCCAGAAGACAGCCCAATATCGATGGACCTACTTCATGGTGAACTTGCTAAAACAATAGGTGGTAGTTTTGTTGATTTACGAGTCGCATTACTTACTTTACCTGATGCGTGGGACCGCAACTTAGTTGCACGGGTATGGAAAGACACCTTTATAATTGGTTGAAGTACAGCGTTCTACATTACTTCTAAGAATTAATGTGTTACACCGTTTTCGTTTACGGAATTAATTTTTTTTTTTTTAGATGCAGTGTTTGTTAAAGTGGAGTCACAGCTGGAAGCGCTGCCCTCGTTGTGCGTCTCCTTTACGGATGCGCGTTTCTAAAACTGCAGCGGTTTGTACATCTTGCAAGGAACTGTATTACCCACCGGCAAGTAGTTAAAGTGTGAATTAGAGACAATATCTGTTCTTTTTTTTCTCTTTTTTTTTTTACATTTTTACATTGCAGCTTTACCCTGTGGCGTCTTGCCTGGTTAAAAATCCGGAAGGTACGAAGGCTCTATTAGTTCGCCACAAAAGTAGTCTGAAAAGTGTTTTTACTGTCATATCAGGCTTTGCCCAGGTAATAGTTCTGTGATTTATCTTCTTCTATCGTTTATACCTGTACTGTATTTCCTAGAAAGGAGTTCAGATTGGTGAGTCCTTCGCTGAAACTGTACGAAGGGAAGTGGCTGAAGAGGTTGGAGTAGAGTGCAAAGATATTAATGCGATAAATGTGTCATCTTCGTGGCCCATCCCTGAAGGTTCTCTGTTGTGTGCTTTTGAAGCTTCAGCTGATTCATCTCAAAAGGTGATTTGTCTTATATGTGATCTAGAATGGAAGTAATTTTGCTTTTTTTTCAAGAAAGCAAGTTTTGCTTTGCTTATTTTGTAGTTATCGTTTTGCAGTCTTTTCGTTCACAATTTTTGTTTTTTATTGTTTTTCCCCTGCTTTACTTTGTTGACAGTAAACTTTTCAACGTTTTTCCTTTGTGAACCTCATTTTTCATCAATTGAATTTACAGTTAACTGTGAATATGGATGAATTAGAAGCTGCAGAGTGGTTTACCAAAGATGAGGTAAGGCAAGCTTTTGAGAATACAAGGCTGGACCCGCAATTACGCCGGCTTGTCAAGGTGAATAACGCTTCAAACTTCAGTTACATACCTCCGTTAGGGTCCATCGCATATCAGTTGATTGAGCGTTGGTTAAATTTGTAAAGTAAGCATGGTGGCTCTTGCTGTTCTAATGAAATATCGCCTAATGATGGAGCTGTAGGTGATATTTTTATGATTTGTGATTTTTTAAAGTTTTCAGCCTAGGAAATAGTGCTATTTCCGTCGTTTGCGTAGTAGTTTTAACAAAGTTACTTTATGCGTTTAGTCCTCAAACCTTCTGAGGGTTATGTTGTCGTTGGTTACATGTATATGCGTTTAAGCTTATGAGATTTTTTTTAGAAAGATTAACATGATATTTTAAACTTATTTGTTTATCCTACTAAATGTAATTAGTTCTGCTGAGCAAATTGAGTTTGTTGATTTCTAGTTTTTGATTGCCTTTAGGCTATTTGGATTTTAATTCATCATCACTATTTTATTGCTCACTGCTGCGGTAAGTCTTCCTGTTCCAGCTTAGAATTACCAGTTTTTAGTCGTCAAGGTCTGATCTTTGGTGTAAAGCTTAAATATTTTTTTAATTTTTGTTTTAGTCTATATAGAAGAAATGACATAAAATTGCATTTCTGCTTAAATCATATTAAAGTTATAATAATTAATTCTCTTATGAAATACTCGACGGATCAAAATAATTGAGGGGAGAGCAAATTAGCAAACTTATGTTTGGTAATCTCCAGTCTTTAATTCAGGTTTTATTCGGTCTTTTTTGTTTAAGTTTATTACTTGTTATTTTTCAGCAAAAGAAAACTTCTTTTTTGTGTTTGTATTTATTAGGAGATGTTGAATTTGTTTTTAGTTGTTTTAAACATGTAAATTATTATTTCGTTATTGAATTAATTGTTACAACTGACAACAAAATATTTTGTTTATTTTTTAGTGCATTTCATTGTTGATATATAATTGTCAGCAAAATTTTTGCTAAATTTATTTGTTAGTACTCAGTTGTTGTTTAGGATCTTTTTTTGGTCTGGTATTTGGTTTGTAAAACAAATTTAAAAGAGTATTTTGAAGTTGGCATTGAATACTACTTAAATTACTTACGTTCTATGTTTGACTACGGTAAGCCTTAGCTTTTTGTTGATACTCGGTAAAAGTGATAGCGTCTTAATAAAAATTTCATTTTTTTTTATTCTGTAAATTTGGATTAAGGATGAAATTGTGTACTTTTTTGCCTTAATATGTTTGTCGTATAATCGTCCTTTATTCTGAACAGTATCGAATGTAAATGGAACAGCAAAAGGTCTTGCATCTAGATTTGTTAAAAATTTTTGAAGGGTAAATCTGTTGCGTAGTGTCAGTGAACAGTGGTTTAAGTGTATGGATATTTTTCTTTCTTTTTTGTACAGTAAAGTTACAATTTAAATTAATCATAACTTCTAGTTAGACTTTGTTTTTTTTTTTCTTGTTAAACATAGGATATACTTCAAAAAAAGGATTTGGATGATGGACGTAACTCATGCTACAGCAGTCAAGCAGTAAGTGAAAGTTGTAGAGGGTGAGTAAGAAGAGAGAAGAAAACAAAAGGAAGAGGAATAATGTAAGGAAAAAAAAGGAGAGGACAACTGTCAGATACATTTAATGGTATCTTAACGCTGCTCTTTACTAATTTATTTAGTGGATATTGAGCTAATATTTTAAGATTTATTAATGGTAATAGAAAAACAATTTGGGTAAAAAATGATGAGAGAAGAGAAATCAAATAAAATTTTTTTATCAAACGATTTTTGTTTTCTATTTTTTGGCTGCTGGAAAAAGGGTTTTTTAGTGTGTTTTACTGAGTAACAAAAGAATTATATTTGGTTGGAAATGTTTCAATAATTTTACAGTTATTAGTTACAAAAATTGTACTCAGTTCTAAAATTTAGTGTTGTGACATCAATTTAAGACAGAATTTGTTGATTTAAGATTTTTTTATTGAAAGTTATAACCAACTTAGGAAACGCTCTAATTGTAAAAATGGAGCAGAAGAAGAAGGAGAAGAAGAAGAAAAAGACAGAAAGGAACGTGAAGAATAAGAAAAAATCTTGAGGGAGGTTATTAATGTAATCAATTTTTTTACTGGACAGTGAATACGGGGAAAA